GTAAGGCTAACAACCTTACCGTCATCTATGAGCCGACTGTCTAGAAAATGTGGGGACCTCAACGTCTCACAACGCTATGGGCCTCCACGGCTTGTTACAGGGATACCTTTACTACCCCCCCTTACTTATGTGTTTGTGATTCTCCGAATAAAAGGCGATTTCTTCTTCCTGAAGTATTATTACCATCTGGTCTTTCTAGTTATGACACAGCATGTCATCTGTGAGGAATCAATTTTAGAATATTATTTAGATCAGTGTCAAGGCCGCGCCATAGCTCAAACGGTTAGTCGCTGGCTTCCCACCACGGCGGCCCGGCTTCGATCCCGAGCTTGGTCAAGTGGGTTTTGTGGTGGACAAAGTGGCGCTGGGCCAGATTTTCTCCGAGCACTTCGGTTTCCCTTTCAATCTTCATTCCACCAATTGCTCCATAATCACCCTCACCTATCATCTGGGGCTGGTACAATAGGCCAGAAGTGGCCGCAGTACAAGGGACTTAGTCCCACCCCACTAGCAATAAGAAAGAATAGATCAGAGTCACACTTTGAAGGGTTAATGATACGTAGCAACGCGTACGCTGCTTTGAGAACCAAACAAAACAGGAATATACTTTGCTGAGCAAAACGTGGCGTCATTAATACCAAAGCGGCTGCTAGGCATCATGTGGCAGTGAATTAAATCAAGGACATCAACGTGGATGTGGTTAAACATGTTTCCTTCCAGTACCAGTTTTGGTGGGCAGACTGTAGTGACATTAAGGTTTGAGTCGCTGGAAAACGGGGCAATGCCACGACAGCTCTCGTTTTATTTACTACGTCAATCCCGTTTGTTTTGTGCAAGGTTACAACCGATCGATCTAGCGTCCCTCGGCAAACTGACCGACGCGTACGTCGCTTGCGATGTTTTGTATGTACAACAAGCGGAACGTTACAATTAAATTTGTTACTTCCTTTTTTAATTCAATATCTCTACTATTCTCCAAGTATAATTAGAATGATCAAGTCAAGGAGGATGAGGTGGGCAGAGCAGGTAGTACGAATGGGAGAGAAGAGGAATGCATATAGGATATTGGTGGGAAAACCAGAAGGAAAGAGACCACTGGGAAGACGAAGGCGTAGGTGGGTGGACAATATTAAAATGGATCTTAGAGAGGGGTTGAGATGGTATGGATTGGATTGATCTGGCTCAGGTTAGGGACCAGGGGAGGGCTCTTGTGAACACGATAATGAACCTTCGGGTTCCATAAAATTCTGGGAAATTCTTCAGTAGCTGCAGAATTGGCTTCTTCTCAAGAAGGGCACAGCTCAATAAGTTAGTATCTCAATCATACGTCGTTATAAAATTATGAAACAAAAAGTCTCAGAAAGACCAATTATCAGAGTTCATATATCGACATTTTCATTGACATTTAAGTTTATATATATATATTTTAGTAAAATTCCGTACTTCTGGCATTATTCTAAAAAAGTACGGCATTATTGACTCTGACATATATTTAAGTTCCCTATTCATGATGAGATGAAACACAATCATACAAGCTCGCTCATAAAACGACACAAACTATGTTTGATTGTTGTGACATTTTACTATGACCTACTACAGCTCTGACTGCCTCACTGAAAACAGCAGCTTCTTATAGCAGTGTGGGCTGAATTTGCACATCCTTCACACGTTCAAGTCTACAGTGGATGAATGAACTCTGAAATAAAACTATTTATTCTCCCAAACATCGACTGCAAAAGCGTTATCTTCTACAGATTATGAAATCACCACTAAAACAATTATACCACCGGAATAACTGTTGTAAATCCAGTGGCACATGCTGTGAAGGTCTTTATAATTACGGCGTAGTTTTCAATACCAGCCTACAGTATGCTTTCTAGCCACTAAATTCGTACATTCAGACACTTCTTAGGTACATGCTGAACCTCTAATCCCTTTCTCGGCTCTAGAAGTCGGCCGCCATTTGCTAACGTTGGAAGAATGTTGTAGCACACAGGACTACCATTACGTATTTTTCGCACTTGTATCTTGTTTCACGACGTTGACCATTTTCATTGTCACAAAATGAACAAACTTAAGCAGAATTTGAAATATCATCTCACTGAACAGGTCCAAAAATAGGGGTGTTTTCAGAATTTTCCCCGGAGAAAATTTGCTCTTATTATCCGGTCTCTGGTGAAGTTATTGTAACAGAAAGCGTGCCAGGAAATTCATTATTTAATTTCTGTTCGTTTCATTCCAATGATGGGTCCTAGATATTGGTTTCAGATTAGGTGTGTTTTCTAAAAAAAATTTTGGCATATCAATTTTTTTCTCTGGCTATTACTTCCGCAATTTCTTGTGTACAAAACAACTCAAAATATTCCAGGGGGTTGCTGGCGGGGGGGGGGGTCTTTTAAATCAACGTTTATACTAGGCTCGCCAGTAAATTGAAAACGTGGTCGCTTAACACCTGACTTTGCCCATATGCCATGCTGCATGCTACTGTTGTCATTGACATTTTCTTCTTTACCAGAGCTGTCACCTTGTTCACCACATGATGAAATTTTCGCATTTATATTACTATCACTACTACAGAGGTTTTTTTTTTATTTTGTTGACAGGTTCACGGCCCTGCGCGTCACGGCGATAGATCTGCCGCTAGCCGCACGGCTAATATGAATTTCGCCTACGAATCAACATGTCTGATGGCCGTTAACGTGAGTAATTAAAGAAAGTAATTAAGTTGTGGACAGCTTGAGGCATATATTTCACGGCGAGCAGTGCGGTTCTTGAGTCGGAGTTTATGATTTGTCAGCAGTAGGCAGCGATTATCAGCTCCATTAGCCATTTTGTTCTCAGTTACAATTAGTGAACAGTGTGGTGCGTCATGGCGTGGTATTGTTTAGACCCTTACAGAAATACACTTTGTTCTAAAGTTTAGAGCAACGTATATTTCTCTAAGACACCTATGTGAAACACGGATCTGCTAGAAAACGTCGTTGAAAATTTCGTGATGAAAGAGTTGTCAGCAGGCAAACAATTCATAATTCGGTGAATAAATTTAGGACAACGGGACTCTTAATAGACAAGTAACACTAACACAATGCCGAGTGCTGACTGAGGAGAAGCTGGATGACCTAGAGGCCAGACTTGAACATGAGCCTAGAAAACCACTGAAACGTCTAGCTCAAGAGATTGGAGTGTCTAGTGCAAGAACGGCAACAACTGCAGAAGCTTGGATCCTATAAAGCAACAGCAATCGACGCACGCCTTGCAGCCACGCGATCCAGCTAGCAGGGTTCAATTTGCGGTGGTTTCTACAGTCTGTCGTCGAAGGTGAAATGGATCTGCAGTTGACATTATTTTCTGATGAAGCGTCGTTTCACTTTCAGGGATATATAAATATGCAAAATAATCACTCCTGGAGTTCATAGGCATATATTTTAAATTACAGAAAAGAAAATACTGTCTTCTGGGATTTGACACGGTGTAGTGTGTTAGATACTTATGATAACAGCATCAGAAATACTTGTTGAAAGAAGAAGCAAGCATCATGTTACCCCGAAACGTCGGCTACACTGTGTTATATCACAGAAGACAATACTTTCCATAGCAGCATAAGAACTTCAACTCTAATTATAAATTAAGTGAACCCGTGTTAACTTTGTCTTACTTAAGAAGAACATGCCTGAAATCATGTCTCACACGTAGCGGAAACGTATCTTGGAGAAAAAGTACGTGGACAGTGTCTCAAAACTATATTCGATAAAAGGATATAATCAAAAGCCTTGTATATGCTTCATTAAACGAGAATACCCATATTTCTTGATCATAGAACTATAGAAAGTGTGCGAAAGGTCGCATCATTTATATACAAACATGCCCCCCCCCTTCCTAGTAGCCCTCAGCCCTGCTAATTACTCGGGGTTCCTCCGTCCCTTTAAAACACTTCCGATATCAGTCACCTGACATTATACTGTAGACAGTTCAAACTCAGGGGTTAGAAAAATACGACACATTATGAAATTCAATCCAGTCAGCGGACAATGAGTTTCAGATATTAGTATTAACAGTCTTTTCCATCAATATTTTGTTCCTCATAGGGAAACTAAGGTCGTATATAAGCAAATATTATAGGCGCGTTAGTCAGACAGATATGCAATCTCTCCAGTTTCCAATCCACGTATTTACTACTTTTATTTACAACAATCCACCTTAAAAGTTGGCATGGATAAGGCGAATGGGGCCCGCTACAGAATCGTTCTAATGCGTCCGGATAACATGGGGTACTTTATGATAGCATGCCACATGGTATTTGTATACTTAAGTATTTTAATACGACTTGTAAAGTATGTATCCATCCACGCTCCGAGTAACTGAACTTTCTTATCTATCATCTAAACAGTGAATATGGAAGGCAGTTTTCGATTAAGATTACCCAACATTATTTCAATATGCAGACAGGTAAACAATAGCTTCTTTTCCTCCAGGACCACCTCAAATAAAATTATTTGTAATTATGATATAAACGTACCGAAATGCAGGCGATTTGTCAACTTGCAGCTGTAGTCTTCACGACACTTAAATTCAAAACTCTTTGCAGTATATGTTCTAATGTTAAAATATCATTCACACTTAAATTTCAGCTCAAAGAACAAATAAATCTGTAAATAAAATTATATTAACAAAATATTTTCAACAAGCTCTTGACGTTCAAACGCACTATTTAACTCGTTTTGAACCACAGTCAAATGACAACAGGTTGTTAATGTAAACTATTCCGTTTTGTGTAATAAACACACCGCATTACTAATACAAACGTGACATAAACGACACAGATATCACATAATGGAAACATCGATTACACAAACCAATATTCTAATCGCTGTGTTCTTCATATAAACATTGTTATTCTAATGTAGGTTAGATGTTTGCACGAGGTTTCCACACGAATGACCACCTCGGATCAAAGTCCCGCGCATTCTGCGGTAAAACAGCAGAAGAAACTGCTCCCTTGTTGTGACGACAAAATGTGACGCTAAGAGAAACGTTTACGACATCTGTTGATAGAGTAGATAACTAAATCCTGCCATCTATGAAAAATTTTGGAACTTACGATTAGTTACACCTCATATCACCACCTTTTCTGGTATGTACTAACATGCATTATAACTGAAGTTATAAGGAATTTCTTTCAGTACCAGTTTGTACACAGCAAATTTCACAAACAGCCCTTTATCTTTTATTCTTTCATGCATGAAACACATATCCCACTTACAAAATTTATGTTTCTTTTTGAATACATTAAAACAACAAAGCTTCAGATAACTTCAAGCTGACTGTGGGTATTATGGTTGGAAGGATAATCAATGTAAGTGAATAGTAAATGGATAGCATTACCAAATTTGAAAATGAAACTCAAACATAAATCTAAACAAACCTAATTTTGGGGAGAGATGTGCAAGTATGTGATGTAATACTGCCATGACCTGATATCTTGAAAAAGGTACTGGTTCTTGCTCGCACCAGATGTAGTGGTTGCACACTGACAGTTTCATTACCAGGGACTCATTTCTGATGACAAGCTTTTTGACAAGAAGCTGACTTCAGACTAAGGCTAGGAACACACACACAGTGACATTGGTTGTACGTCTGTACGGTTCATGTAGTCTCAAGTAGTAGAATATAAAGTGTAGTCTTAGTTTTCATACGTGATGACATGCGACAACTACTGTATGACAGTCGGATGAACCCACAATTTCATCTCGCCTTTCATTGATTGGATGCACCCAGTGCAATATTTTCTGCTTCCTCCATTTTTCTTTTCAGCGTCAGTGAAAATACCACATAGCAAGTCCATCGTTCATTCATCAAAACTGTGATTCGGTGCGGATAAAGTCGCTCTAGTATGAAAAGGTTGTACAGCAAAAAAATCATACGACATCTTTCCGTACAACCGATGTCGCTGTGTAAGTTCTAGCTTAAGGGAGTATTCCTGAGAAGTATTCTACCCTTTGCACCAACAGTGTGGTTTCTTTGATGTCTGTAATTCAAGCCACGGTCTTTTGTGAACATGGTAATAAAGCCTTCAGCTCCCGGAAAGGTGGAAAACTGAGGAAAAACTAGCTTCTCTTCTCTACTGGGTAGTTCAAATCAAATCCCAAAATACCAAGTACGCAGGAGAACCAAGATTACCAACACTTAACTCCATTTGCAAAGTCCACTTCCTTGCCTTCTGTTTATGGCAAAACCTTCAAATTTTCCATTCCTCTATTTTGTTTCTAGTGCTCGCTTAAATAACTGAATTATTTGCATTTTAACCTATGTAAGTCCTGTTCCAATCAGTGAGTGTTCTATTTTAGTTTTACACTGTGTAGACTTTAAAAAATTTGTAAGGTCCTTTCTATGCACTTCAATGACGAGCAACCTTCATACAGGAACATGCAACATTTTTCAGTTATCTAATAATTTATTCAGATTTTCAATCTTTGAAGTAAACCTAACTGTAAAATTGCCAGCTTATTTACATGTGCAACACTTTAGCCTCTCTTACCTCTCAGTACAGTGTTTGAGAATGAAGCATGAGCAATATCTGGGAGAGAGAAAGTATGAAGAACAAACTTACACAAATGGCTTCATAATTAGTATTATTTGGATTATTTAGGGTCACAAAGACAAGGAAGATGAGGGCAGGATTTTAAAAGGATGTGAGGATATGGACTGGATTCAGCTGCCTCAGACCCTACCTTGTCAACACAGTATCGAACATTTGAGTTTCATGAAAGGCGGGGAAATTCCTTACCAAAGGAGTGAACACAAGCTTTCCAAGGACTCTGTTCCTTGTAGGGAGCTATACTATCAATATATTCCACAAGGAGACATTGCAGATGCAAGTGCATAATTTGTCATATTTCAGATTTCAATATATTGTCTAGCACGGTTCTGGCTGAAATTATGCAACGTTGATGAGAGTATAAAGTCTGATATTTGGAGTCTACTTTTGTCTCTGATTGCAGACATCGTTGGGGAATGACAACGGAGGCAGGGACTCCGTTAATATTAGATTTCAACATTTATCAATGTGACAGATCATAAAAAAAATATATTGCCTTTAACCACCATGCAAACTTCAGATTTTTAATGAAACAGCAACTTGAGTGACAGAAATAACATTATATGTATCAGTAAAAATATACATAAATACAAAGCAGAAAATTCTGCACCTTTGTACCTTATGAGACACTAACAAATGTTCACATAAAAATATAGATTTCAATATTCTTATAGAGAGTGGTTCCCAAAAAATGTGGATACAAAAATACATCAAATACCTTCACATTTTATTCAGTCATTCATTCTATGGAAATAATTTTAAATGTATAATGCTACTTCCCTGTTTCTGTGTCATCACAGAACATGTCCACAACATAACCCAGAAAACAGTACTCTTCGGGCTCACAGCCATGAGCTCTTCAACTCTTCTCACAGTACACTGCCATAAACAACAAGAGCTGCGTGTTACCAATACAGTTCTACATTTTTCTTGAAGTCTTCACTCAGTGATTCAACCTGTGGCCTAAGCAAATAACAGTGCATCGCTTCAACATTCGTAAGTTCATAATACAATTCTTGGACTGACATTTGAAGCATCCTTGCACATTCTGTTATCAACCACCGAAATGAAGATGGGAATTCAACTATAACTTCCCTTTCAAATTCTTCCAAAGTCTGTTTTTTTGTATTAACTTCATTTAACCAATATTCTACATATGGCATGTACAATACATATTTTTTGTTTTTAACTAGGTAACTTTCTTCAGTCTTATGATTTTTTAAATGCTTTAACAAAACCTTCTTTGCTGCTAAAGGAAGATTTACTTGTCTGGAATGATGAAACAGTTGGTCATCTAGTTTACTAGTAATGCCTTTCTTTTCCAATCGCCTCACCAACATATCTTCTGCAACAACAGGTAAATTACCAAATATTTCTGACCCTCGGGTGAAACTATCATTTTCAGTGATTCTGGCACAACTTGGATTTTCATCATCGCTACTAGATGTGGTGCTATTGTCTGTATCACTGTCATCTGTCCTGTAATTCTTGGAGCTAAAGTGGTTGCCTGTTTCAACACAAACACCATTATGTTTCAGATGTTTTACTAACAAACTTTCTGCAATGCGAGGTAACCGACAAAATGTTCTGGGGGGACGAAGAAGTTGGTCTGTAAGAGATTCATGGGCTGCTATGCTTTGTTTCTTAGACTTTGCTTTGTTGTTCTTTTTACAATGCCTACTATGCTGAACTCTCTCCGCAGTATCCACAATCATGTATCTTCCACTTCCACCATTCTGGGATTTTTTCTTCATTTTAGTCACAACTTTTACTTGATTGTGGGCACTTCTCTTCTGAATAACGATTTTTGTTCCTTTCTTATGCGCCATTGCTATGTATCTGAAAGAGACACAGTTAATTTAAAGTTATGAAATTTACTCCATATTATTCCTAACATATATAGTAAGCCAAGTACCGTGGTACTGGATGCAATCTTAATCCTCATTCCCAAGTTTTCTCTTACTTATATGAATATACTTCAATTCATGCAGTACTTCCTTAGTTATGGGTATTACATACAGCGAACTCCCCATTATCTGAAATGAACAGCTAATGGGATGTTCCTCAATTTCATGTTCACCTTCATGTACCTTTCCGTTTCCCTAATCACATGTCAGTAATCTCAGTGCTATATTTCC